TTTTCAAGTGGATGGAGATTTTTTAAAAATGGAAGAAGGAAAAACGTTGTTTATAAAAATACCCGTGTACGTGTGGACATGGAAGTCGCTAGATTTGTTGCTAGGCGCTTTTTTGGAAAAAAAGTAGCTAAATCTAGGGACAAAGTCGCCATTCCGCGCGATGACGTCCCTCAAGGACGCAACTTAAAGTCAGCGTGAACCGGAAGTTGCTGCCGACTTTATTTCAGTGTAGTGACGTATTTCCAGCTGAAACGGAATATTGAATAGAGGGCATGGTTTTATGTTTGTGCTCCTCCTCTCTGTCTCTCACTCATAGCAATCTAAGGGTTGGAGGGGTGTGTTTAAGGATATTCTGCCCAAGCCGTCAAACTGACGTCATCAGAAAAGGAATGCCATTCCAGAGTGGAAGACAAATAATTTTTTTCAGCGGATTAACTTGCACGGATTAATTGTTCATTAATTGTTAGCAATGTGCGCTAGTAAAGTAAATAAAGTCAAAAAGAAATTTTGATTTCATGCCGACTTTAAATCTAAACAGCCAACCGTATGAATGTGGGCATGTCTTAAAAGTCTGTAGCAAACAATTATAGAAAGAGACAGATTGTTGTAAATATTAAAACCCTCAAAAGAGTAATTTTAAAGAATTCATGTTTTCCAAATCGCGTGTCCTATGAAGGGCCACAGGAATGTTGAGCTTATCCCAGCATCACAAATAGGTTTTCATCATGAGGTTTATATCAAAATGATCATAAACTTAATTTTTACATAAATAATGAAGCAACTTTTTTTTATACTCATAGTTTTTGTGGTATTTTTTCTGTCTGGATAATCTGTCAACTATACTTCCCTCTCATTTATATTACTGTCAAATGTGTACTGACTGGTTCAAAAAACAGTCTGCTTGCTATAGCCTATCATTTAAACTTTCTAAATGACAGAAATCTAGAAAGATAAAGAGAAAATATTTCAGCACAAACAAAGCCAAATGTACGTCTATTTATCGTACATCAAAATAATGTAATTTGTGCATAACATAACCACTTGGACGGGGCCCTATATCATGGTCTCAAGGGGCCGCCTTAGAGTCAACAACATCCTTGTGTGTGCAGAGTGTCCATTATAAATAATGTAGATATCTCTGTCAGCAAGTATTCTTTTTGTTCATTTGTAATGTCACACACTGTTGTTCATGTAAATAGTTTGCATGTGTGACAACACATGCAAAAAAAGGTGGGGCAGTCAATCACACATAGTTCAATGTAGTTCAGTGCTAAATAACAAATCTTTTTCACCAGTTTAGATGGCATGTTATAGTTTTTCACATTTGCTAAGAAACTAAACCCCATTCTCTGAACCAAATTCTCAATAGCCTAAACCATTTGTCAAATAAATCACTCTTTTTGCAAAACCTTACACAAGTTCAGACAGTTTAGACACTATTTGCAGAGCTCATGCACTCTTTTTGCAAAACACATTCTCACACACAATTTGCACTGTGATGAACTTGTGATGCAAAACCCTAAACACAAGAAAGCAAAAGTTAAGCACAATTGCAACACAGCTGTCATCGTTTACACACAATAATTCAAACCTGTTCACACTTGTTTCTAAATATGACAACAAAATAATAATAAAAGCAAAAGAAGAATGGAAGAGAATCTTGTGTAGAATTGCAAGATTATGATGTTAGGGTGGAAGAACTACATGCACTGGACACCGCGTCTCCATTTTTTGATGTAGTGTCTAATGAATGATCTGTAGTGCACAGTTTTTCTGAATTGCTAAAACACTAAACCCCAATCTCTGAACCAAATTCTCACTAGTTTAAACCAATTTGTCGAATAAAGCACTCTTTCTGCTAAACCTTAAACACGTTCAGGCAGTTAGGCTCTATTTGCAAATCTCTCAAGACACCAAGACGAGAAGTTCAATCACTTGAAGGAGAGATAGGTGTTGCAAGGACAGCTCCAGATAAGGAAGTTCAGAAACAGAAAGGGAATATCCTCTTGGAGGTAGCTGAAGCCTTTCCTTTGTCTTTGTCTCTGCTGTCTGGAAGATCATCAACATTGGACTCTCTTCTAGACGATGAATATCGGGACTCCCAGAGCTCCATAGTGCCCTCTATGCAGGAACAGGAAGAAGTGACTGATTGGGCATCTAATTCCGAACCTTTCTTGGACTCTGATGAAATTAACATGTTTTCAACTACCACTCATATGAAGGAATCTGCTTCACAGATAGAACTACCTCCCCGAGCTAAAAAAGAAAAGTAAAGGAAAAGACTGAAAAGCAATACAGTCTCCCCTACATAAACTCTCTCTTTTATAGATTTCTCGTCTATCTGTTACATCTATTAATACTAGAGGTTTAGTTGATTTAGTGAAATGTTCTTCTGTGTTTTCCTTTTTATATAGTGAGGGTCATGACATCGCCCTCCTTCAAGAATGTAATATACCTTATAAGTCTAATTATAGACCCTTTCAAGATAGATGGAAATATGGCCATTCTATATGGTCAGGTGATAATAAGAATAAGTCATCTGGGGTAGTCATTCTCTTTAGAGGTTGGTATTTTGAGATTCAACAAGTTCAGTAAGTTGTTAGTGGCAGACTTTTGTATGTGGACGTAAAATTAAATGGTATAGCTTTTCGTATAATTAACGTATATTGCCCTCCAGATTTGCAAGAGAGGAAGGAAATTTTGAAAGAAATTGCTTCAATATTAATTTGTGGGCGGGAAGTCATTATGGGAGGCGATTTTAATTGTATAATAGCTAAAGAAGATCGGAAATCAATAACAACAATAAAACGTGATTCTAGTTCAATAGATCTTATGAATATTATTAAGGACTTTAAACTTACAAATACCTTTAGATTGCAGAACCCTAATATTCCAGGGTTTACTTGGTCTAATGGTTCCTCCTTTTCTCGTATTGATTTAGTATTTTCCTCACCTACAATTGAGGTAATGGAATCTTCCTTGAAACCGGTGTTTTTTTCCGATCATGCTAAAGTAGATTGTGTAGTAAAGATAAATGGAAATAGTATGAGAGGACCTGGATTATGGAAATTAAATATAAACTTGTTAAAAGATCCTAAAGTAGTATCAAAATTAAGAGGAAAACTTAATCAGTGGAAATCTTTGCAAGAATTGTATGTTTCTGTGGGAGATTGGTGGGAAGATCTTAAAACTAGAATAAGGAGGTTTTTATACAGGAAAGTAAGAAAGCTACGTCGAAAATCAATTTCCATCTTAAAAAGTGTCAGAGAGATTTGCAAATCTTATATTCCATGTCTCATTTTGGATTTGATGTAGTCGAAGATATTGCAAAACTTAAGAGAGAAATGGCTAAAATAATGGCTTATAAGAGTAAGAGCTACATTATAAGGAGTAGAGTTCAGCATATGGAATCTAATGAAAAATGCAGCAATTTTTTTAGGAAACTCCTCGGTGCCCCAAGTTTGGACTCTTTAAAAATCCAAGATGACCAAATAATAACAGGAAACCATAATATAGTATCCCATGTTCACTCGTTTTATGAGAACTTTGTATAGATCTAAAAATATAGAAGAAGAGGA